TGCTGAACCAGTATCACACTGGATTTTTTCTGTCACTGATAGATGATTTCTATCACTGCTTGAGAACGGGATTCACAGAGGTCTGAAAGTTGATACAGAGGTATCTTAAGCAGCTGTTAATAAAGAAAACGGTTGAATATGCAGTGCTGGAAGGAGTGGGCAGATGTATTGGAGAAGCCAATGGAGCTTGATTATAAGCCATTCCATGTGCCAAACTTTCTTACCTTGTATTGGATGTTGCAGCTCACCCAGAAGGCTTTAATGGATGGGTAAGTGAAAGTCACTGACTAACATTTTTTCTCTCTTTTATGTAATTTTCTTTCCTCTTTGTACATGTATAGGAATCTATAAAATATGGAAAGAGAAATCTGATGCATAGAAACATGAAGAGTCAATTTAAACAGTATTTTTTTACCTAATTTGAAATTGGCTGCAGAAGTGTTGCAGAAGCAGATTACTCCTTTGCAAGCACAGTTCAAACGCATGTAAGCAGCTTAATCACAGCACAAAAGTTGATGGCTTTGAGGAGCTAAAATACCACTCTGTTCAGAGGTCTGGAACTGAAGACTTCTCTTAACAGTTTTCACACCAGTGCAGGATCATCTTCCAGCATTCATTTTCATTAAGCTTCCTTACCTCACATGCATAGTGTTATGGATTGTGAGCCTGATTGATTGCTAAGAGAGATACAGCTTTGGGAGCAAGTCATTGATTCAGCACAGATGTTTTCACTGTCGTGAGATAAGGTGCTGGCATAGATTTTGTAGGGTTTGTTTTAATGTGAGGCTTAAAACACCAAACACGCACATACACACATTTAAAACATTTATAGAATAGCTGGTGTACTAAATAAGCATCTGTTAAACAGAGAAACTGAAGTTAGGTCCAAAATGGGAAAGTATTTGAGCTGTCTGCTTTTCTATGCCTGTGCTTTTAGTATAAAAATTCAGTTTGCATTTTGTGTTGTTTACTTCGTAAAAATGGCCTACAAAATTATTGACAGGCAAAATGTACCCATATTTTGCACTAATGGAAAACAAATTTGTCAGGGAGCACAATGTGCAGCAAATCTGAAACCACATAGAGTAGCGATACTACTAGAAATCAGTGTTTTCAATGCTATGTATTACGCAGGCAGTGTTCAAACTGTTTTGTCACAGCACTCCTGTATATTTGAAGAATTTGTTGTATTTTTCTACTTGTTGAAAATTTTGCGTAGTGCTCCTAGGCTAAATCAAGTACTTAGTTGCTGTGCTCACAGCACTAAAGCTGCCTTGGTCAAGGAAGCATCCTAATTCTTCCTATCGGACATTTAGCAGAGTTATGGTAAGATACTTACTCAGCCTTTGTTCTTGGGTGTACCTTTCATGCACTGACACAAATGACTTTGCTTGCCAAAGTGATTTCTAAGTGATTTTTCTCTATCCACTCATCCATTTCACCGTTTCATGTTCTTGAATTTTCTTCTGTCTTTGTAGATGTCCAATAGGTCTTGAAAATACATGGTGACAGTAGGCATATGACTCTGTGAAGTTCAACTCAAACCACAACAGTGGTTTTCTAACTTGACTCTCTCGGGTCTTAAAAAAAGCAGCAAATAAAGTATACATGTTGGAAGAAATTGTGTTATCTTTTGTTTGTTTATTTATTGGATTAGTATTTGACCCTAACAATTCTCATGTCTGTCTTCTTTATATCAGGCTAAGGTTTTCCTCCACAGGAAGGAAGAAGAGACCACATAAATTTCCTCCTCAGACCCATGAAGGATTATGATTCAAACTTCAACATTGATTTATTCCCTAATTTTTAAAAGCAAATGACTCCTCTCCCCTTGTCCACTAATCTAGGCATTTTATCAAATAAGACAACTGAACTTCTCAGGCATGATGTACCCTTGGTAAACCCATGCTGACTGTTCCAAATCACCTTTTGCTCCTTCAAGTTCTCAGAAATGCCTTCGAAGAGGACTTGCTCTATTATTTTCCCAGGGACCAAAAAGAGGCTGAACTTTTGCCCTTGTGGCATCATTTGAACATGGTTGCACCATTTGCCTTTCTTCAGTTGTTGGGAACCTCCCTTCATCTCCATGACCTTAGAAAGTGGCTTTACAAGGATGGTAGCTGTTTCTCTCACCAGCTTTGGGTGCAGCCCATTGGGTCCCATGGGCTCTTGTGGGTCAAGTCCTTTCAAGTAATCCCTGCCTTATTCTCACCTGACAGGTATGCTCCTTGAACTCATTCACTAAGCATGGAGGAGAGGGAGACCTAGTTAGTCAAGAGCGAAGTAAAGAAAGCATTGGGTACCTCAGCTTTGTCTGCATCCTCTGACACTGCATCACTGGCCCCATTCAACAAAGTGTCTACATTGTGCTTATTCAGCATTTTACTATTAATGGGATGGCTGAAGTTCTTCATATTGTCCTTGATGCCCATCTACAAGTATCAGCTCTAGGTGAGCTTTAGTTTTCCTAATATCCTGCTTATGTGGCCAGGCAACATTTCTAAATTCCTCCTTAGCAGCCTGTCCCTGCTCCAAACTCCTCCATGCTGCCTTTTTGCATTGTAGCTTCCCTGCTTAGCCAGTGTCCTGATATATCTACTTGTTTTCCTGGGAATTGGGATGGGCTTTTCTTGTGCATGGAGGCTGCTGTCCTTAGAGGCCTGCAGGTTCCCTGACCTCATTTGCACTTCAGAGCTGCCTCCCATGGGATCCCACCTACCGCTTCCCTGAATGAACCAAAGTCTGCTCACCTGAAGTCCATGGTCTGTACTGCTATTCTTCTCCCTCACCCCCTTTAGCATCTTGAACTCCTCTGCCTCAGAGTCACTACAGCCAAGGCTGCCACTGATTTCACGTCCCTAACTAGCTCCTTTTTAACAGTGAAGGAGCTAATCTAGCTGTGTGTCACTCCTGTTGTCCCTTTTAGTACTTATATCAGGGTGTTCTCCCTGACATCCTCTAGGAATCCTGTTGACTGGCTTTAAGACTGCACAGGGAGCTCTAGGTCCTCCTGTATGTTTCCAAGGCTGCATTTGTGCATGCACTCGAGGCAAGTGTCCGTCTGCCACATTTTATTATTCCTTCTGGTCTCTTCTGTTCCAGTTGCTCTACACCTTTTGCTTTAATTACTTTTTACAATATATTGGCGTTGGAACTAGATGATCTTAAGGTCCTTTCCAACCCAAACTGTTCTATGATTCGATGATTCTGTGATTTCCCTTTGTCGCCCAAGACAAAACCAGAGCACCACACCTCTTCTCCCCACATCTTGTCCACCCCCTCTTCCCTTGTTTCTTGCCTTACGTCTTCTCAAGCACTCAACATTACAGCCTCAGCCCAAAAAGTCAGTTACAGGATGTGCCATGGTGTTATGGAGCTGGTGAGCTGCAGGCATGAGTCTCAGCTATGCAAGACTGCCAACTTCCGTGCACTATTAGCAAAGTAAATGGAATTAGTTTATTGTTACAAGTCTCCACTTCCATTTTTCCTGTATGTTTTTTTTCTTTCATGTTCCTAATTGTATATTTAAAAATGGATGGCTTCTCTTTTCTGCACACGTTAGATAATGGCTTAGCTAACATGCTATATTTTTTTTAAAGGTATAATCATAGAATCATATGTGAAAACTGTGATGAGGAAGGGATATGCCTTCTCACACCTGAAAAGGACTAAGGGTTTGGCACTTTGTGGAGTGCAGCCTTACCTGGAATTACTTGGGAAGCAGAGGATTAGATGGACCATGCTTATAAAGTCCTCCTAAATCCAGGTATTTGGTTTGCTGTGCCCAAAGCTAGACTTGCTTCTGATTAGGATGAGCTGAAAAGGTGATACTTTTGCTGTGTATAACTGAATTTTAAATGTTCTGTAACCAGCAACATTAAGAAATATACACTTGTTCTTAACTGTAAAATTTAGTAAATTGTGTAGCAGCAACAGTGCCTACATTTTAATGTAAGAGGAACAGAATTGCAATAATTTAAATCCTTTAATTTGGGCCACTGGGGAAGTGACAATGAGATCTATTTTTAGCTTCAGCAGAATTCTGTGTAAAAATGCTGACACAATGTTAATATGCAACTGCTTGACTGTGAAAAGAGTTGTTTTCAGACTAACTCTTCTGACCTCAGTAGATAAGGATCAGCATTCAGGAGAGGAAGAGATAATGTATTTTAAAGTGTGCACTTGCTGCTGCTTATAAGGTGTCTTGTTTATAGATTCTGTTTTCAGGCCAATAGGTGCATTCAGATCAAGGAATCTAACAGACTCCAGGCCTGCAAGACTTGTGTTCCATTACCTTTATATTCTGATTTGTTTTCGGATGTGTCAGTATTCAGCCCAGCCTGTTAACAGACTTGTGTCAACCTTTTGGATTACTTTGCCAAATGAGACTTTCTTCCCAGACTGATCTGACCTGGATAGGCAACATGCACAACAGCACTGCTGGAACTCCACTTGCGGCTGGAACATGGAATGGGGCTCGGTCCACACAGTCACTGAGCTCCAAGTTCTCCCTGAGTGTGTTGGTGCTGCTGGCTTTCCTCATGGTGTTGCTTGCTTTGGTCACCATCCTCGGAAATGCCCTGGTTATCCTGGCTTTCATCTTGGACAGAAACCTCAGGCATCGGAGTAACTATTACTTTCTCAATCTTGCTATTTCTGACTTTGCAGTAGGTAAGTCACAGCTGTGGAGGCAGGTACTACTTTTGCCCTGGGACTCTTAGGAGAAGCAATGGGGTTTATTTTCTGTGTGGTTTCTTCTAAGAGAACTGTTTCCCAGCTGTGTGTCTAAGGGGAAAGTAAGGAATGGTGGAAGCTGCATGAAGTATTTTAGCAGCCTATTATGTGTCAAATTATGTTAGAATGAGAAATGCATCCTTTTTCGTATAAATACTTTTAATGTTGCTTCAGAAAAACAGAGCAACTATTGTATGTGAATACCACTTGAAGGAAAGGGGTTGTTTGCTACAGCTTGCAGTTAACCTTTGCTCCTCCTGTAATATTGTTCATCACACACTTTAGGGCATCCTTATATTTGACAGTGTAACTGTTTTCTTTTGCAGCTACCTATGGTACCTCCAGGTAAATTACTTCTCTATATTAAATTACTTCTCTATGTAGTACTAATGGCTTCTGAGTGTGTTATGCTACAACAAAACACTTCAACTATGATTTTTTACTGGCTTTAATGCAATGCAACTTACAGATCAAATGGATTGCTTGGTGGCAGCAACAGCCTGCTGGAATCTCCCATTCGCTCTTCCCATAGTGTCATTGCAAAAGTCCAGGAGAGTCGGCCCCTGGAGGTACCACGGATCCAGTTGTGATGCATGATGGCAGGTGAAGAGGTGGGGGGCATGAATGCCTTCAGCGTTCAAGCCAGGGAGACAGCCCAAGTGTCAAAGAAAGCCTGACAAAATCATGGTTGTGTGGCAGATGTTCCAGCAAACACCTGGACTTGAGGCTAGCAAGGAGGTATTTCTAACAGAAGTGCTTAAGACAGTCACAGAGACCAGTATTCACTGAATCGCAAGGAGGAAAACAGTACTCATCGACCTACTCCACTTGTGGCAATACCATCCCCCCTAACTGCAGTTTGTTGGTACTCTGTAGTGAAGTATGAGTTTAGCCTTTAAGAAATTCTGTAATTTATGCCATTTATTGTCTGTGGTGCCTAATTCTGGGGCTTGTCCCATGCAGCAGAAACCAAACAATGTGTGTGCTGGAGCCTTTGCTTCCTGCTCCAGGAAGACAGTTTGCTTGAACTGCCATTTCATTGCTCAGGTCTTCTGCAAAAGTCTTTCTCCTCCTATCTTACAGTTTAGTCAAGAGATTTGAATACCTACCTTCTACATCAGTTCTTGTTTGTGGCTGGTACCTAATGGAGTCTTAAATCAACCAAGAGGAAATTATTTGTATCAGTCTTATGTTGGCCTATAGACCATTTAAATCTAATACTTTGTCTCTGGGATCAGTCAGAAAATGCTTTACTTTCTGAAGCTGCTGTGATATTTTCTTAATTCCTTAGAAGTATGAAATCTTTCTAGGCATGTGACTCACATCTTTTGCATCCACCAATTAGTAAAAGAGAGAATACTTTCAAATATAAATGCTTAAAACCTGGTTCTTGCATCTATATTCATATCTATAGCTAAAAGTAGTTGTTACTTTTTGATGTGGTGCGAAACATCAATCCCATTGAAGTTGATGAAAGCAGCAGCTGTCATCAGCAAGTATGAAAAATGAGTATTTTGTACTAAAGAGATGCTGCTTGTATTTGAGGTGTGTGTTAAAACAAGCCATCAGTATTGAAACCTCTGTGTGCATTTCCCTGTTGCTAACAGTCTATCAGCTGTCAGTGGGCCACATCAGCCTGGATATGCTCAGTAACTTCTAAGATCTTGATGTACATATTAAGAAAAGAAGAACCTAAAGAGCTTGAAATGATCTTGAAGCTGCATATAGTTTTCTGTTTGTCTTTGGTAGATCAGCATTTTCAGGAATGTAGCATCAGATATTGCACCATACTTATGAAAAAAGTATTAATGGTAAAATGAAGAAGTTGCTGGCTTGAAAATAAAACTAAGACATCATTTGCTTACAAAAACACTTCAGTAGAAGGCCTTTTGGGCAAAACCCAAACATAACAAACACAAGATTATTTCTGGAGTTAATCTCCGGATACCACGCAGACTGCCCCATGTGTTCTGTAGCTTACCAATGCTCACCAATCTCACAATAATAACCAACATCAGCAACATCTGTAGATGTGTTTGGGGGAAAACTCTAACACAGATAAAAGACTAGAAGATATACAGCAATGAGGTTACATGTCAGAGCACAACCACAGTGCATATATGCTGTAGCACCAATTATGTATCTTTAGAGACTCTAAGTTGGTTAGACTGCAGTTTTCTTATTCAGCAGATCCTTCTTTGCTGATTTGTCTTGAACTTATTCCCGACAATCAGTGTACATAAACACAGTGAGATCTAATACATAGAAAGTCACTGTCAGATTTCATGGGCATATAAGAATTTCTGTATATAAATTAAATATTCACCTTAATAGATTTAATATCTATTTTTTGTCTTTTTTTTTTTTTTTTTTTTTTTTTTTAGCCATATACCAGAATATTGTCTCTCTCTGTTTCCAGGAGTTCTGTTTGCAATCCATATCACCCAAATGGTGTCTCTGTGGTTGCTTTCCATAGGGGTATTCTATTTTGCATGCCTCTCTACATCCCTTACAGCCTGACAGGGAAATGGCACTTGGGAAGAGGCATCTCAAACTCTGGCTAGCTATGGACTATCTCCTGTGCACAGCTTCAGTAGTTAACATTGTTCTTATCAGCTATCATTGTTTTCTGTCAGTTACTACAGCTGTAAGTACCCTGTTTATAGCTTCTCTGATTTTGTCAAAAGATCACTGGAGTATTTTATTTACCAACATTTGCCATGTTGGTGAGTATAAGCCCAAATTTAGTTGAGATAATAGCCTTCAAAAATACATTGGCATGTGGAGATTATTAGGTATTTGCAGCTAGATGTGGTGAAAGTTCTTCATTGAGCATGCTCCAGCCAAGAGTTGGTCAAATAAGACTTTTCTCATGATTTCTGCTGCAGGTTGCTGTTGTGCTGCTACTTGAGGGAAAGCAGGCTGAGGGGTGAAAAGGATAAGGCAGGATAAAAAGGGGATAATAAAAGAGGAAATTGAAAGTAAAATGGATTTAGATTTGGACCTAAATTCAGGCATGGGAGAAAAAGGCAGCAGGGCTAGGGCAGTGAAGTGAAGGACACTGATGAGAATGTCTAGATCTGAGATATGGTCCCAAATGATCCTGGAGAAGATTAGGAGCAAGAACAAGCAGGATAGAGAGTGGGGACAGACTGCAGTGACTGCCTGTGGACATGAGGCAAAAAGTCATCTTGGTGCCTTCACAGGTATCTTACAGAGCCCAGCAGGGAATAACGTCCAACCCTGTCATCAAGATGGTGGCCATCTGGGTCTTTGCCTTCCTCCTCTACTGCCCGGCCATCCTCTTCTGGGAGCACGTGGCCGGGCACAGCGTGGTACCAGAGGACCAGTGCTTTGCCGAGTTCTTCAGCAACTGGCTCTTCCTCCTGTGTGCATCCACCCTGGAGTTCTTCGTGCCGCTGCTCTTGGTGACCTACTTCAACGTGCACATCTTCCACAACATCCAGAGGCGCCAGCGGCACAGCAACAGACAGGACTGCGAGCGTCCAAGGACAAGTAGCCTGTCTTGGAGATCCTGCCTCTCACTGAGGCAAGAATGATTTTCTCCTCCACTGGAAGCAGAGGACAGTGTTTCTTCCTCCATAAGGCCAAGAAAGAGTCTTTGGTAACTGAGAGCTCATCTCCAACCAGAGGCAGTTCTGTAATGCCAGAAAATGAGTTCTCTGTTTCTTTCTGTTCAAGGTCTGGGCCAAAACTGCAGCAGGACAAGAAAATAGGGAGGTCACTTGCCATAATTGTGTGTATATTTGCCATTTGCTGGGCCCCATACACTTTACTAATGATCATTCGTGGGGCCTGCCAAGGAGAGTGCATCCATAATTCACTGTATAAAATAACCTTTTGGCTTTTGTGGCTCAATTCCTTTCTGAATCCATTTCTCTACCCTCTCTGTCTTGTTAAATTTCGAATGTCTTTCGTCAAAATACTGTGTCCAAAAAAGTTTGTAGCATTGAGATCAGATTACTTCTAGAAGGAAAAAGAAAAAAAAAGGCTCAAGAGGAGCTGGATGAGGGATGTTGTTTAGTTGCATAACTCTGGAATTAACAGGTACTAGATTTCTCACTAAATAAACAGGTGTAACTCTTTAAACCATAGAATGGTTTGGGTTGGAAGGGACCTTCAAGATCATCTAGTTCCAACCCCCTGCCATGGGCAAGGACACCTTCCACTAGAGCAGGTTGCTGCAAGCCCCTGTGTCCAACCTGGCTTTGAACACTGCCAGGGATGGGGCAGCCACAGCTTCTCTGGGAAACCTGTGCCAGCGCCTCAGCACCCTCACAGTAAAAAACCTCTTTCTTATATACCATCTAAATCTCCCCTCTTTCAGTTTAAAGCCACTCCCCCTTGTCCTGTCCCTACCTGCCCTTGTAAAAAGTCCCTCTCCAGCTTTTCTGTAGTCCCCCTTTAGGTACTGGCAGCTGCCCTAAGGTGTCCCTGAAGCCTTCTCTTCCCCAGGCTGAACAAGCCCAACTCTCTGAGCCTGTCTTCTCCCTGAACATCTTCATGGCCTCCTCTGGACTCACACCCACAGAGCCATGTCCTTATGCTGAGGTGGATGCGGTACTGCTGGTGGGGTCTCGTGAGAGCAGAGTAGAGGCTGGGGTCTCAACTCCCTTGATCTGTGGGTGATGCTCATTTTGATGCAGCCCAGGATACGGTTGGTTTCTGGGCTGCGAGCACACGCTGAAGCCGGCTTGTGTTCAGTTTCTCATCCACCAACACCCCCAAGTCCTCAGCACTGCTCTCAGCCCAGCCTGTATTTGTGTTTGGGATTGCCTTGACCCAGGTGTAGGACCTTGCACTTGGCTTGGTTAAACTTCATGATGCTGGCATTGGCACACCTCTCAAGCATGTCAAAGTTGTTCTGGATGGCATCCCTTCCCTTCAGTGTGTTGACCACATCACACAGCTTGGTGTCAGCAAGCTTGCTGACAATCTATCCCACTGTCAATGTTGCTGACAAAGATGTTGAACAGTGCCAGTCCAAATACTGACCCCTGAGGAACGTCACTTATCACTGCTTGTCACAGTACTGTATTGGGAAATAAGTTACGAATCCAGTTGCTCTTGTCTCACTTACTGTTTTTGAGCTATTATTAGTAGGATAGAGGAGTAAGAAGGAAGCTGATGACAGGCAAGAAAAATTACGTGGTTTATGTGAGGTTCTTGATTAGTCTCTTTATTCTTCTGATGTAGAAGTTATTTGCAGCAGAGGAAGGCAAAGGAGTACATTGTACTACTTATTGTTGAGCAAGACAGCAGAAATATTGGGAACTGTCAGAGGGAGGGTTCGGTCCAAGAAGGTTCTTGTGGACCATGGGTCCTTGTGGAAGTTGCACAAGTAAGCAACATTACTGACCTAATTGCTGAAGACATGAAATTCTCCCTACACATGCTCTGAACTCATGGTCAGTGCAGGTCCTGCAAGCCATGGCATGGGGTTCATGCTGATGAAAAGCATCAACAAGGGTGCTGGTTAAAGGGAAAAGTGATATCACCATCAGGTGCAAAGTTCACTTCTCCCTTGGATTGACAGAACCATATGGGACTTTGCACACATGCATTATTTAGTAAGTGGGAGTGACCAGGCAACTTCCTGGCTTTCTTACACATTAAAAAAACCAACAAAATAACCTGAACCTGTTTCAAATACCAGAGTAAAACTTTACTTTGAAGTACAGAACTTGAAAATTGTTAAGAAAATGTGTGAAGAAGAAGCTTTTATAAACAAAATTCAGATGTGCAAGAACTAGAATAAAAGATAGTGCCACACTTTTTAGGAAGAATGTCTGTATTCTGGAGACATGGCATCTTAGTTTAATTGCTGAACAACAGCATAGTCCTGCATAAAACATCATCCTTGGGGCTGAAGCAAAAGAACTGATGAAGGACCTCTTTCTGAGCAAATCTTAGTAAGGACAATTTGGTTTGATTGCTATTTGTGTGAGGGCCTTGTGGGTACCCAACAGGCCTTAACTGCCATGACCAACCCCACTTGTACCCCCACCCTTGACATCAGCCTTGGGCCCTGGGGCATTGTTAGACTGAGGTGGTCGTGACCTGAGGTATATGAGTGCCTGTAGGTTGCTCTCAGCTCTGTCCTTTGTATTTTGTTCAGGTTTTGACCGAACTTTGGAGATTGGCCTTGTCCCAGCTTGTCACTTCATGTTTGTGTCATGTTCTTCCTAAGCCACAGCTGGGAGAACTGAAGTTGTCCACAGTGGCATAATCTGTGATGTCATAGAATCAACTGTGGTCATAGAATCAACTAGGTTGGAATAGACCTTTAAGATCAAGTCCAGCCATTACCCCTGGACTGCCAAGACCCTCTAAACCATGTCACTGAGGGCCTCATCTACACGGTTTTTGAACATTTCCAGGGAAGAAATCACACAAGTGGAGCAAATCCAGTCTGATCAGGGTCTCCCCAGTATGTTCTCAGCTCTGCCTGCCAAGAGTCTCTTGTCCTTCTTCTCCTAAACCAATTCCAGATCCCACCCTTTCCTTTTATTTTTTAATTGGTGCTGTCCTAATACTTCATCATTATATCAATCTTCCCTTCAATTGCATCCTTCAGTGATGAGTTTTTTCCTTGCAGCCTCACCATATTTCTTGTATTCCTGTAGTACCTGGTTTCCCATTTTGCATCAGGTAGTTCATGTTCCTCCATGTTGTTATAGTGCTGATAGATTTGCTATGGCATATATTTCTGTGTGCCTTGCTCAACAGTTCCCCAGGCATATTGGTATAGCTTTTACACTAAACATATTCTCACTCATATTACTGTTTTCTTTCTCATTTCCTGAACTGTCAAAATTACTTTCTTTTTTTAAGAAATTTATACAGAAATTTAATACTCTGAGTAAAACCTGTTGTTAATGCATTAGCAGTCTAACACCTTCCCTTACCTTACACAAACTTTACCATTCATAACCTACCTGCTGTTAGGCTAGTGTAATATTGGGGTAGAACATAAGGTTCTTGCATACGTCACTTCAGACCAGGTCTCATCCCTGGTACTTCTAAAATGACAGTGCTGCCTTATCTCACAAATGCCAAACACTAATGACTCGTGTTCTTAATAAATATAAACAATCATAGCTGATTCCCTTCGATGGTATGGAGGTTCTGGCACAATATTTTAGAAGGGTTTTGAGAACTTGAATTAAACATGATGTAAAATGCAAAATTTCTATTTAAGACAAAGTGTTTAAAAAGATCAGAAATTAAGGCATTGTAAGCAAAGAAACGTAACACATGTATTCAGACCAGAAAAAATTCCAATTCCTCCTTGGTCTTGTGTGTGCATTTAGCTTAAAAAACAATGTTTTATCAGCAGTGTTAATGAAGTGAGTTAGAAATAGCTTTCCTAGTGTAAAGAGGGTAAAGTGTTTAGAGTAGAGTGGCTGGATTTGTGTATGGCAAAACTGGAACAGCATCACAGAAGGAGAGAAGATGAAGGTGAAGTTAAATTTTTTACTGTGCAGAAGAGACTGCTTTTTTAAACAGAAGAGAAATGAAAAAGGCAAACTTTCTTTTTGCTTACATCACCAAATCTAGGCATTGCCCCCTCAAGACTTTTCCCTTCTAGCCCCTTTTTCAGGATCTGGCTACTATACTTGAAGCTGGATCAAACTTCCTTGCCATTGTTTGCATAGCGCTCTGATCTTCACTCATGTGCATACTTCCTCCCTGATTAACTCTCCCTTATCACTCTATCATTAAAGAATAGTATTTGTTAGACCTCTCAGTTGCAAGAAGGCTCAATATAACCAATAGTGACTCTTCACTGATGTGTTCTCTCTTAAGCTGTGGAGCTGTGGAAACATTTAAAATCAGCCATTCCCTTTCCCCATTTTCTGTAGGATAAAGTACAATAATTTGTGTTTGTCCTCTTCACACTGCTATATCTTGGACACCCGACCTAGATCTGACCAAGGAAGAAACACAACCTCCCCCTAAAGACAATGCTTTTATTTCTCACTCCTAGGAAGGCAGGCAGTCACACTGCTGTAGGTGCCTTGTGAAACAGGAGGTCTGCTTTCCCCAACCACCTGCATTGCCAACAAAATAAGAACTTATTTAGAGGAGCTAAACCCCTGACTTAACCCCGTAAGACAGCAGTTGAGAGGGCATGTTCATCCACAGGTAGGCTTGTGAATGTAGACACTGAGTGTGTCTGCTGGTTTTCCTTATGATAGCTTCTCACAGAAGCCTCATTTTTGGTGTTTTCCTCTTGCTGTTCCAACCTGCATGTTCCTGCAGATGTCACTAGTGCTACATGGTATGTTTAAACCTCGCAAATCCATGGGTTTTTCGAAAGGTGTCATTTATGTGTACAATCCTGCATGATACGACAACAGCACTCTCTGCTAAAACACCATCAGATCTGTTATATTACATCTAATATTTACTCTGCTGCAGAAAAGATCAGGGGAAGGGATTATTGCCTTGACAAAGAAAGGAAGATTTTAGTCATGCAGATAAGTCAGTGCAGGACTTCTTTGTAAGTTGCCCTGCATAGAAACTGTCCTGTGCTCTGCATTTAAAGCAAAGCCTCATATCGTCTGTGGAAAAGGATAGCAAGTCATAGTGAGCTGATAACAGGTCGTCACCACTGGCTCATCATAAAATGTGCCCTCTCCTCTCATGTAAAAGGTTTTGCTCTCATGAATGCTTTCGTCTATTCTAATTGTGGATTGGTGCTAAAATATCTGTCTGTCTGTCCTTCCCTTCCTGCTGTTGCTGCTACTCCTGGCCCCGTGGTCCTGCCCCTAGGTGAGGGCTTGTGCAGTTGTGCAGGATATTCAGTCTAGGAACTGATCTGGGTGAAAAGTAACTGGTTTTCTGTTTGGCTGGTTAGTTTAGGGTAGGCACCTTATCTAGCTTATCACTCAAGCATGGAATTGCTAGGTCCTGGTGTGACAGAATTGCTGAGACTTCTCTCTTTGTCAGCAGCTTACTTTTGGG